TTCAGAAAGTCATCAAATCTGCAAGAAGCATCATATGACGTAGATTAGTTCTCATTCCATAACTTTTCATGTTGTATTGCATCGCATCAATTATACTTTTCCTTGCAGCCTCAGTACCCGTTTTCTCCACCTCAACAATAGGATTACTAGTGGTATTTCTCCTGCCGACTCCTGGTGTGCCCATTACAGTACCTTCCGCTAGCAGATACAAATCTCCTTGCTCTAATGGGCACATCAGGAATGGATTGGAGAAATACCACTAGTAATCATAATATAAGTAATGTAATTATATTGAAAGTATAGTTGTGTTTCTAGCTAGCTATAAATTAAGAAAATCATCAATTTGGTTGTTGTCTTGGTCTTTAAGGTTGGGACCAAGATTCCTAACAAAAGGAACTGCGATCCATGCATAGGGGATTGAAATCCCAAAGTTTAGAAATCCCTTGAAGATTCTTGTCTGGGAGTTCCAAAACAAGTTTCGGAAGGAGAATCGCCACCTTTGTTGCATCAATAAATAACACAAAGGATGGAAAGAATTAGGGCAGTATGGGTTATGGTTGTATTTATTTATTTATTTGTCTCAATTTTTCTTTAGGAACTTGGGGTGGTGGAATGTTCCTTAATTGTATGGATTGCAGATATAGAATCAAGATTATTCCAATGGGAAGTTACCCACGGATAACGGACAGCAACAACAATACATTTGACCTGTAAGTAATGGTTGCTGATCTTTGCAATGGTTACTTGGCTTTAAATGTCATAATTACTTGGGATTCAAAATCCATCATATAATACCTGATCATGTGCCCTTTGCAACTTGTATTTGCCTTTGGAAGAATTTAATTATTGATTGACTTAATTTTTAATTCAAGTTTCCCTCACACGAATAGTTTTATTTTCGCTCACATCAGTGCTGCCTAAGTGAATTCACATGGAGCTTGTCAACTATTATTAATTTCTTCTTCTCTCCAAGTCACATAGCCACCGTGAATCCTATATGATTGATAAACTGATTTCCTTTGTTACTGCTTCTCACCAGCAGCTGAAACCTGATTAGCAACTATTGTCTTCCTGCTCAATGCCCATGGTCCCCATTGTTTCTCACAATGGTTTTACAGTTGGGATAATACAAGCTGCATTCCTTTTGATTTGTTCCTGATATTGGCAAAATATCAAAAAATCTTTGTATACCTGACTCGATAATGATAACAATTTGTTCTATTAGTTGAAATTCCAAATAAGCAGTAGTTGTTCTTTTTTGCAGTCTGTTTTCATTTTGCTCGGTGTATCTAATGAAGATTGATGACTTTATGCAATATTTTAAAATGTGGGATGCGGACCGATGCGTTGAGGATGCCGATGCGGGTGCATCTCGCTGATGTAGTCAATAAATATAAGAAAATTTTAAAAAATCTAAAAAAATGGGTTAATGCATAAAAAAAATATGGAGGTGATTTATGTGATATTAGATATTTCTTTTATTCATTAACTCCAAAAATATCAGCTGTCAAGGATTCTGTATCAGCTATCCCTTGATAGATCATAGAAGACATCAGAAAGTTGAAATGAAAAACTTGAAGCTAGTTTCATAAATCATGCAACAACCATAATCACAAATTTGCAACCACAAACTTTAAAGTTACAAAATGCAAACTAAAAGTCCATGAAGATTAAAGAGTTCAAAAGTATCACACCCAAAAAAAACAAATATAGATTTCTTGTTGGTCCTTTAAACCCTCGATTTGTTGTTAACTTTGCTAAAACTTCCGCAAGTGAACACCCAAAAGAAACAAATCCTTAACCAAAGATCAACCAATACGAAAATATAAGAATTTCAAAAAAATAAATTTCCGCTACTTCTTTTTTTTTGATCGATTTGATGAATTAAAGGCCATGGATGTGGCAGTTATTGGTAGTTTGGGGGGTTGTAATAGCCCCCTAAACCCTTTTCTCCCTTTTTCGGGGCTTAAAAAGTAAAAAATACGCACTCTCAAGTGACTTTTTTTTTCACATCACTCACTGGCCACATATGCGGGCTATGGGGTGCCTATGCGGGTGCATCCCTCGAAAGTGCATGTGTGGCCTCATGCGATGCGGTTCCCAGCGCATAATGCAATATGCGGCCGCATTTTAAAACCATGCTTTTCTGTGAATTTACCTAGAATGAGTCAAAATTATTCTTCTGTTCATTTGCTTTTACGTTCCTGGCAATACGCAACATCCTGCTGATAAAATAGTTGACTCCCAAAGAGCAAACTAAATGGAAAAACTAGTGTTTACTTGTTACATTCTCAAAATGAGGAGGAAATCATAAAGTTATACTTTCTTGGGCTTCCCATCTGTCCATTAAGAGTTCATCTTGACGCCTTCCTTTGAGTATGAAATTGGATTACATCTATTGACTGCACATTCTGACCTTGCCGGTCGACACCCCTTGTCTATAGTAAAAGCGTGGCCTCCAACGTTTTTAGTGCACAATAGGTGCTGAGCGTATCGGTATGGACTCATGGGGTTTTCAGCCTCCTTCAGTTGATGGAAAACGCACTTTGCTACGTTGTTATCATCATTTCCCCTTGCAGGTCTTCTTTCATCCTTTAGATAATCTTTTGAATGTCTTGATGATAAGTGGATTTTTTGATGAGATGATAATCACAGACATACATTTCGCTTTTCCAATTTTGATTGGAGCTCTTATGCAGGTGTAGCATGAAAGTTTCTATTTTAGAAATAATTTACATGCAAGAAATTTTTTTGTAGCTTGATAGTTTCTATTTTAGCAATAAGTTTTATACAAGAAAATTTTCTCCCATGTTCCGTAACTCTTTTTGATCATTAATAGTAATGTTTTCAATAAATTATAAATTTCGAAGAGCAATCCATGTGGAGTGTACCAAGAGAGATGCTTAAACCGCATCAAATTGATCTGAAAAATTGATATTGCATCTCTTGAATGAATTTTGGATATTAAACAAGGGCTGTAAACCGGCTGGTTCTCTCCCCAAGACAGTCTCAATGTTGCTTACTGTTAAGGAATAACCTGCTCTCTTTTACTTATGAACCTCCAAAATGCATTAAAGGGTAATTTTCGGTTTTGAAGAAGGGCAAGAAGTGGGCTCCCTATTTTCTCATGATAGAGTATCTCTTTTACTTATGGAGCCTTTGACTTCGCATAGGAAGTATCACCAAAAGGCAATTGGCCTTTAGACTGACATTATTGCCATCTCCCAGGATTCCTTAGTAAACCCCTGATCCCTCTAGGCCCTGCATTGCCCCTTGAACTCCCATTAAAATTTAGCTTCATCACCTCATTTGTTAAATATGTCCATCTCAAATGCGGCTTCACTAGTGGTTGTCGCAAAGAAAGCACTCCTATCCCTTAAGAAATCTACTACTCAATATTCTCGAAGCTAAGGTCTAGTCGAAGCCTAGAGAATCACGTATCATTAATAATTGCCTAGAAGATGACTTTCCGAACTCTCTGCATATGCCCCACACCAATGGTTTAAAAGAAGGACTCAGGCTGGGATTCACTGGGGTCCTGTTCTCGAGTTTGGAAATTCGGACTTAGCTGTGTTTGTCAAAGACTTGGCTCAGTCCTAAAATATAAATCAAATATATGGAACCTTTTAGATTTGGCTGGTTCCCATGGTTATGTTTCTAGGCTCGGCAGCCTGCCGAGTCCTAGTCACTTGAGCGAGTCTTACTTGGATTCACTGGTCCATGTGAACTCTATAACATGAAATTGCCATAATGAGGCAGCCAGAGTTTTTGGGAGCCCGATGTTAATTCCGGAAAGTGAATCTTCTGTTTCAGATCCTGGCCTTGGTAGAACTTGTCTTTGATTGGGTTTTTGATTGAAAAGATGTTACGCTGGTTCCTCATGTGCCTAAGAAGGCGAAGCAATCTGAATTGGAGCCAATTCAATCTCTAATCGATCTTTTTTATAGAAATAGCACTCGATCAAAGGGGAGCATAAGCAAGTTCTCTCTGTGATTGATGGGAACTTCGAATCTGGGGCAGGAGCAAACTCATATTAGGGGGGGGAGGGGGTGCAATGGGAATTGTCACTTGCTTAAATTTCCCTACCTCGGGAGCATAGGTTCGCTTGTCTAGGAGCACCTTTAGAATTCATGTATTATGCAAGGTTTAAGGAAACAAATTGGTGACCTAGATCTGCTACCCCAAAAACTAGGTAGGATCGGTGGATTGGCAATCCGGATTGGAAAATCGGCCAGATCAGTTGGTTTTGGCCTGAAAAAAGTTTAAAAAACTCGCCAAAAATATTTTTTTTTTGGGTTTCCAAAAAATTAGGGGTGGTGCATTATGAAGTTTTGTTATTTTGCAAAAGCATGTGAATATCGAGATTTCGTTCCCTTGTTTGGATGTCTGTTGACTATTATATTCACATTACTAGAGAAAAAGAGCTTACAATCATCATGGATATGCATACAACATAGAAATATGACGTATACGTAGATATTGCATTATAACTTTCATTATTTTGGAAAAACATACGAATATTGAGACACTGATTCTTGTCGGAGTTTTTATTGATACTAATTTTGATATAGTAATTTTATAAAAAAAATATTATGCTTATAATTCTCAAAAACAGAAATTTATGCTTATTTTGTGATTTCAGTGAAGAAACGAGGGAGAATAATATTTGTATAAATAAAAAAAGAAACACAATACACAAACCCATTTGTTGCATCATGCCATCTCACAAAAGGAAAAGTTTTCTCTCTTGTAAAACTCAAAGAAAGATCTAGATAAATTGTCTTCAAATGAATGATTCACTTTCGTCCTTGATTTGGATCTTTTTTGAGCTCTAGTTTTGTTTTTAACTTGGTTGTGGGTGATCATAGATGCTCCAAAAATTTCAGATAAAAAAAATTTCCGTGGAGGATAATACGCTTACAAATTTAATATGACTCACAAATTATTTATAAATCTATTTAAGTGGAGTTACCCAAGCTAATCCAAATAAATCTCAGATAAATACCACATCATTCTACCCACGGAACGAGTCAATAATTTAACCACCCTGTGTCAGCCTTTTCTTAACACATTATGCTCCTATTGGGAACATGCAATCTTCTACTTTGATGGTGATCCATATTTAAGGTGCTTTCTCTCCATTTGGACCTGCCAAGCCAATGGTGACATCTCTCTTTGATGCTGGTATCTGCCAAACCAATAGGAAAAGAGGCTCCAGTAAACTATACACAACTGTAACATCACCTGTCCACAGTCCATCCCTCACCTAGTTTCACAGCCACTTCCCTTAGAAGTGCTTTATTCACCTCCTTAGCCTATTACTTCCCAGTCTTCTTGCCCTTTTCGGTTTGCATAAACTTGTGGGATTTACTACTTCCTCTCCAAAGAAAATTCCACTGTCTCAGGGATGGTGGGAGTACTGGGAATTTGAGATGACCATACCTCCCACCCTCTTGGTGTTTCGGAAGTTATCTTTCCTGCAACCGGTTTTATTTCTAGAATATAGACTTTGGCCAGCTCTTTTTTGAAAGTACTAATGTGAATTATTCAAGATATCTATTTTTGAGTAGAAATTATTCAAGATATCACTGTAGTGATTGTGGCGGCCTGTTCTCAACTTGAACGGTGAATGGGAAATCTTTGCTTTTCCTTTTTTGCACTGAAGTTTCGAAATTCCTTCTGTTTCACACTAAACCCTTTTATAGATCTG